CCAGTTGAGATGAGAGGAAGGAAACTCATTTATGCCATTGCACAGTCCCTCGGTGCTCTCACACAAACCAGGGCTGCTCCCAGCAAGCCCAGCCTGGAGACCTGGGTGTCCCCTGGGGCTGGGGCCAGCAGCCCCAAAGATTTAAAATAAACACAGCCTGATGTAGTTCTTTTTTTCTCACTGATGTTTGTGCAAGTGAACCTGCAGGCTGACAGCCCTCCTTGTCCAGTAAGCCTCAGAGCTGTGGAGAAGCTGTGCTACAGGCCAAAGTTAGCCCTGCTGGTGGTGGCACTGAACTGCCAGTGCCTGGCCTTGGGGTCAGGGGACAGAGCCCATGTTCTGGGGCCTGCCTCCACATCTGCAGGACATAGAAAGGATGAAGGAGGGAAAAGCTCAAGTACCAGGATTGAAGGAAGCCCATTACCATGGGTAAGAACTGTCCCTGCACAGTTCTCTAACGATGCCCAAGTACAGGAGTAGAGGAAAAGGCAAAGGAAAGTGAAGCTGCCAAATATGTGGGCAGCAAAACCCCAAGAGGATGAAGCACTGGTGAGGGGACACCCAGAGCACCACAGCAGACAAGGGGGTACAGGCAGCCTGCCTCTGCTGGAGCTGACAGCAAATGCCTCCTCTTGGGATGCTCAGCCAGGTCCTCGAGGAGACATGGCAAAGCAATCACTCTTATAAAGCAATCACTCTTATCCAGATGTACATCCCTGGGTAGCAGTCCTTTGGTGCCTCAAACACTGCTCTGCTCTTCCTCTGTGTCCCCAGTCTCCAGTGCCTGTGGCATGTCCATTTAGTTCTGTCAGCTCTTCACCCCCCAAAGAGAAGGGGGAATGAGAGTCCCAGGCTGTCCTCTGCTCCCCCTGATGTGGCACAATGTGTTCATCAATCACCACAGGTCCTTCGGGAGGAACCTGGAAGAGGAGAGCACAGGCCACGTTAACACTACATAAATCAAGTTTTTAAAGTATAACTTTCAAATTTTCAAAAATCTGGTTTGAGCATGCAAGAAAGCGTGCTTCAGGTCTCACTATTCGCCAGATTCAAGTACTGTAGGTGAATGGGTAAAAATGCATTTCAGCTGATGATTTGGCCAGGGGAAAAGGAAAAGTACATTTCTGCTTCAATAGCACCTAATTAGCAGTGGGATTTTAGATGCAAAAGCAAAACATAGGCCTTGCCATCATCTTCTCATTTAACAGTTCAATCAAAGAAGTCATCAGCCTTCCTTGGTGGCTGTAATTAAGGGCTTGCACAGAATGCAAGGCCTGTTGTGCTTGCAGCTGAGCAGGGAGCCTTTCCTTTGGCAAATCTTGTATGCCTGGGTGAGTCTGCAGGCCACATCTGACTAAAAGTTTTCAGCCAGCTCTTAGCAGAAGGCTTTCTCCCAGATGTGGGGCATCCCACTGCTCCAGCTCCCTCAGCAGTAGTGGGTTGGCCATTTGGTGAAAGATTCCACCTCTCTAAGGGATGCCCAAGCAGATGGCCACTTTCTTGGTCATGCACTGCCCTATCTCTTCAGCTCTAAGACACGTTGACCATGGAAGGTCACAAGGGCATCTCGTGTAATCCCAACACTCAATAAAACCAGCCATGCCCATGACAGAAAGCAGCATTATCCTTTTTTTCCTCTGGCTATATCTTACCAGAATCAGCAGCAGCAGGGGTCTTCTGAACATCAGCTTCGGGAGGGTCGGGTGCTGAGGTACTGTATTTCCCCTGTGAACGAAGGGGAATGGTGCATTTTTTAAGTTCTGCGTTAGGCAGCCGCACAAGTCCTCTAGGTGGAACTTCCCTGTGGAGCGCAGGAGACTGTCCTTGTCCAAGCATCAGAAGGTGTCTGTGCAAGTCAGCTCATTGTCCTTAGACTTTAGCACATTTTTGTGAATATGAAACTCAAGCATTTGTTATTATTTCTTGATGTGAGGAACCCCCCAGCAGCACCCCAGTTTGCCCAGTCTCATGCAGTGCACGCAAGCTCTCACCTATGAGCTCCGTGCCAGTCACTTCCAGCAAATGGATCTTAAGTGAGCTGCCCAGGATCAGGAACTCCTTCTGAATGAGCTGTAGTATTTATAAATCCATCACACCCCAGCTGTTCCAGGCTACTACTGGTGGCTCTTTGTAGCTCTTTCTACCCCATCCACTAGCCTAGCAATTTACTCTTTTATTCTCCAGGCACATCACTTCTCTTGGTAGAAAAGCAGTGCCTGCTGCTGCCATCTAGATGAGCTCCACCTCATTAGCTCTCTGTTTCGTTATGAAACTTGGCTGTAAACTTATTTGCTCTCTTTCTGCTCACACCTCTCCGTTTCCCTCTCTCTGCTATTATCTCTCTAATTATATTATTTCATCCTGTAATGAACGTAGCGCTTGTAGGAACGATGCTCTGCAAAATTACCTTCTATTTGCATTTACATCTGAGCTTTTATCTTTACACAGAATAGATAAAGAGGGATGAGGAGGGATCTGACAGTTACCAAGAAGCAGCTCTGGCTGAACTTTTCACCAGCTTTGGAATTACTAATGCTTTTTTTTTTTTCCCCCTCCAGTCTCTCCTTCTTCCCCACTTGCATTTGTCACCTTTGGCAGGAACCCTCTGCAGCAGCCTCTCCTTCTCCAGAGGCACTGACAGCTCTTTGCTCAACCCAGCCACCTGGGCCACCACACCTGCAACCACAGTCAAATTTGGTTAAACAGTCTAACAGGGCTAAAATCCACAGGGAGGAGGAGGGAGTTCAAATAATGTGATCTTGTAGGCTTCATTTGCTTCAGAAATCAACTTGGAAAATACGGCCAATCAGGACTCATAGAAAACATAGGTTTCAGGAAAAAAATTAATAAAAAAAATCACTGTATGCTGACTAGTAGAGCAGCCAACCCCACATGTGGGCTATTTATGCAGCAGTCAAGTAGTTCTGGTTTCAATGCCAACATGAAAGCCACAAGCCCCCATTAAGCTCTGAAATTCAGTATCTTGAAGCTCTGCATGAGATTCCCCCACGCCATCACTACCCACCAAGAGGTAAAGTGCTTCCAAATTGGATTGTCCATCCCTCCCTAAACAAATTCCCAGCTCCACAAGATGATAATCTCATCTTGGGAGCTGAATCGTGAAGCATGTGAGACAAGGCTGTGAGCCGATGATCAAACTTTATGAAAATGCCCTAGCTCTTATCAGGAGAGATCAAGCTAAGACGGATCAGAGAATTGAAATCTCATCATTTCATAAATCAAACCACCGCCTGCGTGCTCCCAGTGGCTGTCCAGGAGCACTCATGTTTGAAGGACTAATTGCAAACCAGTATGGTTTTCTTTGCTCTTTTCCAGAAGATAAATTAACAGAGATATCACAGAGATGCTGTTCTCCAGGCAGCAAGCCATCGCTAGGTCCGCCCAGGTGAGCCCCCCACATCTCATTTACCTTACAGTGGAGGTTTGCAGACACCTGGTTTTCTCTCACCACAGTGCCTGCCTGGTTTATTTCCAGTACAGCAGAAGCAGCCAGCTCTTCCCTGCCATTAGCACAGGACGTGCTGTGCCCCTGATGCAAGGCACTGCTCTGCAATCCTCATCCCTCCAGAGCAGCAGCTCTGGGTGCTGGGGCTAACCAAGCCCTGGTGTTCACAGAAGGTTGCATGTACTCTCCGAGGCAACACAGGTATTGCTTATTTATTATTTCTTAAAAGAAAACTTCCAGAAACACAGGCTCTTTGAAGCCACCCAGCCCAACTGTGCTGAAGCCGGCCAGCAAATTCAAAATGTATTTCTGCACCTTGCTGAGGATCAGGGAGCCAGCGCGCACACAAGCTGACTCACAGCCGAGTTATTTCAGCTGATGCTTAAGACAGGACTTGCAGACAATAAAGCAAACATCCTGCTCAAACTAATTGCCCTCCCCAGAAGCCAGGCAGGTAGCAAGCCATCACTTCAAACCTCAGCTAGCACTCCCAGGCATCTCTAAGTGCTCGTCTCCCCTTGAGGCAATTAACTCCTAACTCGCTGACAGTTTCTGTCTCCAAGAAGCAGATCCTAAATTATCGGCACAGGACTTTGCGCTCATATCTCTAGCTTCTGTGCTCTTATTCCCTTTCATCTGCAAGGCTTTGCATGGGTTTGTGTCTGGGCGTGTGTTTTCTCACACCAGTGGACTCATTATTTATGGGGCCGAAAGAGCCAAGCTGCTCAAATGGCTGCTCATCATTTAGCTCTTCTGCATGTCTCTCAAAGGCATAATAAACATTATGGGAAAGCAAATATCAGGCTCCGTGGGGTTGCTTGAGGGAAAATGGAGATGCTACCTCGTGGGTGCCGTGCAGAGGGTGTGCCACGTGCCACGCTGTGTGATGGACCTCATGCCAGCAGCTGGCACTGCCAGGTCCCAGCCCTTTCACAGAGCCCTCCCTGTGCATCCCCAGGGGTCTGCATGCTCCAAGGGATGCTCTGGGTCAGGCACCTTCCCAGCATCACCTACGTGCTTGGTTTTCACAGCTTTGCCAAACAGCACTAGAGGGCAGAGCTGTTTACCCTCAGCATATCTGACACCAAGTAAAAAAACTAAAAGTATGTATTTTCAGCAGTATCTGAATTCTAAATGACTGCCCAATCTGCAAGCCCATTAATATGCAAAAGTCACACAGCACATTTCTTTCTAGAAGTCACAAGCACAGGCATTAACAAGCCAATGCCAAGCCTGGGTTTCCTTGCTCTGACTGCTTTCCCAAAACCTGGAAGACCCCACGTGTGGGGCTGCCTCTTGCTGGCAGCACTGCCAGCCAGGGCTTCTTGCAGTGGAGGACACGGGGTAATTCCAAATCATCTCCACGATGGGCAGATAGCAAAGCCTGTTTTCTTCCCATCACTGATTTTAGAAAAGGACCTTGCAAATCAGCAAGCTTTGATCAGAGCCCTGAGATCACAGACCTCACCGACACTCCCCTGGCCAGGCTTGCAGCTAAGCCTCTCAGCAGCTGAGAAATGTTTCTGAACAGACACAGTGTTCCAGGCTTTATTTAGCTTTGATTTTGAGAGCAGAGAGCTCGTAGGAGCCCCCCCAAGGCAGTAAAGCAGGGCTGTTTGAGGGTACATCCACCCACCCACGCCAGGAGCCTCGGTGAGCACCTCCACCAGTGACCACCACAGCTTCCAGCTCTCAGCTCACTGCACCTCATGCAGGAGGGACAATAATCCCCAAACCTGCCTGCTTGCCCTATACAATCCCAAAGCCTTTGTCTGTCATAACAATCCCTAACTTTCTTATTGCACTTTGCTGACGTGCTCCTGGAACCAACTGCCCAAGGCCTGGCTGCTTGAGGAGACGTCCAGTTGATGGGCAGCAACAGAGCAGCGGGGAAGGAGCACTGAGAAACCCCAGCTGAGGATGCAGGTCCTAAGAACCCCACTTCAAACCACTCAGATATCATTTTCTTATTATTTCCCCAGTGCACACACAGTGTGCTTTTCTTTATTATCATCAAAATCAGTCACCCTGCAGGTCTGCCTGCTGCCGGGAAGGGAAGCGGAGGAGTCTTATGTGGAAAGTCACTGTTTGTTCCAGGAACAGGGGAACTTGCTTATGAAGAACTGTAATGCATCGTACCGGAGCACCTGGCCCCGCTTCCTACGATGGCACTTCATAAGAAAACCTCTCCTGAGAGGGAAGAGAAAGGCCTGCAAGATACAGCTCTGAGCACAGTGCATTAATGGCTTAGGTGACGGCATGGAATAAAGCCGGCGATCTTGATAGTCTGAAAAAAAAAATAAATCTATTATTAATACTTACAGAGCAGGAAGGAAATTATAGTTATATTGGTTTTATGTCTCAGTCACACTTTGCCCCTTGCCACAGTTACTTTGCACCACATCCCTGCCTCCCAGGCACAACCTGCATTTCCTTCCTCGCAGAGAAAAGGCACCGCATTGACTTGTTTTTGTGCAGAACTTGCTTTTAACGTCACCCAGCAAAGAGGATTGGCAGGGTCCTCAAGCAGAGGCCAGGCAAGCTGTTGCCCTGCCCAAGGCAGGGGCAGCTGTGCCATTTCTGGCAGATGTTTGTCCAACTTCTGACCCCCAGCAACTGCAATTCCCCAGCTTCCTGGGGCAAATCCATTCCAGTGTTTCTCAGCCCTCATATTTAGGTTATACATCCCTTAATATCATTTCTGCTCATTCCTACCACCAAGTATGTAAAAAACTGTCCATTCCCTTCCTTTCTGTAGCAGTCCTGGAGAACCCATCCACAGCAATCTCATCTCCTTGCAGTTCCCACCTCTCAAGACTAAACAGCCTTAGTCATACAACTTTTTTTCACCTCACAGCCTCTATTCTCAGAATATTTTTGGTTTGTCTTTCTGTGCTCTGCTTCCCCAATTACCTCTTCTTCTGAAGGCAAAGCCCAAAACAGGATGCTTTCCCAAGGTCTAACCAGCATGGAAGGACTGCTTCTCCTCCCCACGAGGCAGCTGCCATACCCCACACCTACTTGGCTGTTGTGCACCACCACCCTTGTTCCTTCAGGCTAGGAAGCAGCAGCTCACAACCAGAGCCTGGCCTCAGGGTTCCCTGTGGGGTCACAGCCAGGCTGTGCTGGTGAGGCTGCTCCTGCACCTCCCCAGAGGATGCTTACAGGAAACCAGATGGCTCCAGATATTTTCTCCACATCAAAGCCAACTCTTAAATTACCTCAAGGAGCCACCAGCCTCTTTCCACTGGCTACATAATGGCCCAGGCAGATTACGCACCACAATTTAATTACCCTAAGAGCTCATAACCCCTTACTCACTGGCTACTTTGGCTTGCCTCGTGCACACTTTGAGTCCTACCCTGAACATTTCCATTTACTCACATGCTGCAGAAGAAGAAGCCACCAGCAAGGACCAGCTTTAGGTCTGACACACACACACATTGCCTGCTCAGCTTCCATCCATACCAGCCACTAGGTACAGAACTGCTGCTCCTCCCTTGAAAGCCACGGCCCAACAAGCCTCTGCAGATGGGATTAATGATGGTCTCTTAAAATTTCAGCCTGGTTGGCCTGGAATCACCTGCACCAAGTTAGACCTTCAGCTCTGGTGGGCTTATTTCAAGCTGCCAGGCCAGGTGTGGCTGGGTTCCTCCTTCTGCTTTGCACAACACTCGAGCATCTTTTAGATTGCAGCTGAACTTCCCTCACCCCTTATCGTGCACTAAACAATTTGGCGTGCAGCTATCTTCTTCAAACAGAGTCAGGCAGAACATTAAGATGGATATTGTTCCTGCTCCCCAAATGATTATAAACAAATTACTGCTGGAAGGAGCAGCATTATATTATCCTAACATTAGATCCACTTCTTTGGCTGGCTGGCTGGTTGCTGTCTAACTGTGACTGTGCTTGGCATGGGCAGTGGTGGTCCAGCTCTGTGCTGGGCTCATTTCGTAGAATACTTACATTTACTCATTTGATTTACATGTTATCTCCAGGTCTGCTGCAAGTCTCATTAAAAAGTCATAAATTATGAGCAATAAACTCACAAACCATACAGAAGGACTAGCCCCGTACCAAGAAGAACACAAAATACTAGCACCCTACATAAAATGAAGCAAGGTCAGACAAGGTCCAAGCAGCATTACAAAGCTAACACCCCCTGATGTCCATGACCAAGGCTGAACCTGGTTCAAATCACCCCCAGGTTTTACTGTACAGCAATTCGTGACTGTAGCCCACACGTACCTGCAAAATCTGCTTGTGGCAGCACATATGGTGGTTGTGCAGCAAAATACCTGAACGGCAGAAGCAAATTCTCATGATAATCATAAATGCTCAATTAGCTTAGACAGTTTTTCAGTGCCTGCTCAGAAGCTGTTTGACTATTTAATTATTTAAGCGTAGAGCAGCCTTTTTGTTACAGCAAAACTGGGGCCTGTCATCAGGCGATAAATAAAACACACACAAACTGCTACCTGAGAAGCATCAAGAAGCCAGAGAACCCCAGGGCCTGGACAGATTTAAGATCAGAGCATCGCTGTCACTTGGCTGTGCCTATCATCACGTTAAATGCGATGGGCATGATACCTGCTCAGGTACTATCCAGGCATAGCTGGACATCCAAGAGGAGCTTGTGAAGGGGGCATGCAGGTGCTATTCCATGGGGCAGTTTCACGCAGCCTGTGCCCATTCTCACCCCCATGATGCTTTCCATGCCCACAGAGCCTCCCTCTCCTGGTGTTGTCTCCTGCAGTGGGCAGGAAAGGCACAGGGGCTCAGAGGTACAGGGCCAGGACCTTTGGGCTGGGGAACACACTGAGCAGCCTGGGATCTCTTTGCCTTGTACCTGCAGCTCACATTTTGTCTCATATGACTGCCTTTTTTATTTTTTATTTTTTTATTTTGAAGAGGTATCTCACCAGTTAGGAAAAAAAAAAAAGGACCAAAGAATATCCAATGTGACATTTAAAAACTGAGAATCACCTTGTAGCTGCAAACCCACATAATGAACGTACCCATTTGCTCCTCTTGTATCGTGCAAGTATTTTTAAATTCAGCTTTCATAAAAACATGCTCCATAAGAAAGAAAAAAAAAGCCTCTTTATTTGTAATATAACAATTTGATTCTCTTTTATGATGTTTGCATAGTTTTGTTTAATTTTGTAGAAAACCAAAACAGAGACTGGGATCAAAGAGAGTGATTTCATTAGAGCTGATAGGTTTTATAGAGCTCTGCAAAGTTCCACTGTTGCCTGAAGATGTTTTAATGCCGGAAAGATCTTTGCATTTCCAGCCTGCCAGTTTCTGTTAAAATTAATAATTGCAGGCATAAATGGGCTGCTGGTTCTTACCTGAGCTGTGACTTTAGCACCCAGCTCAGAGGTGACATCCTCCCATCTGCAGCAGGCAATTTGGGGCAGGCTTAGAAATGTCAGCCAGGTCACTGCCAGCAGGTGACACCACGGCCCATGCCTTGGATTAACCAACACTGCAAGTACTTCTCTGTACTTCAGGAAGGAATGAGTGGGAAATTGAAAAAAAAAATAAATCACTAGTCTCATGTTTATTTCAGCTGATCATGAAGCCTCTAGTTATTTTCTTAAATTTTCTTTTCCTTGTTTTTGTAAAAAAAAAAAAAAAAAAGAAAGAAAAATCCGCTGTAGTAGGGTTGTCAGTGACAAAGCTTGACAATGTTGTGCAGTACATAACCTCAGATGTACACAGGCTTAAAGGAGGCTTTGTAGGCAGTGTTACTAAAATACAAACACATCCAGTCAGCTTTGGGGTAATTGATACTGTTTGTGGCTAAAACTAGTCGACACAAAATCGAACAGAGGTCACAATCTGCCCTCACCTTTGCATGTATAAAGTGCTGGGAGGCGATGGGGGAAACAGGCTATTATTTACAGGGCATATAATTAAAAATTGAGTATAAAATTTCCCGAGGCCATGCCTAGGGCCCGCTGTTGACATTACGTTCCCATGTTAGCACAGACACCGAGATGCAGTTCCCTCGGGAGATGCCTGGCGTGGCCAACCCAAGGCCAGGTATTCACACCCTGGAAGAAATCTTTGGCTGCTTCTGTATTTTTCTCCTTGTTTCTCTGGAGCACAATTATCCTGGAAGGGTGAAGTTCAGTCGATCCATTCCAAGCTGGGCTGGCTGCATTGAATCAAGATTTTAGCTAATTAAAGAACTATAGCAAAACAATTTTGCTCCCTCCCTTGTTTTGAGGTTTGGACTCAGGAAAGCAGAGAAGCTTTGAGACTGTCACGTCCAGGACTCCTTCTGGCGAGGCTGGCCTTGCTGCCAGCCGTGGTTATTTTGGTGCCTGCTCACGGCTGAGCAGCAGCAGCCCTGGAGGCATCTGATGCAGAGGAATTTGTTCAGAAATCTCACAAGCTAACAAAACACGAAGTTCTCAGCAACCCCCTCTTTGAAGAGTGTTCTTCTTAGGAAAACAGAGTTATTTCTTTGCCAGTTCTCCATTCCCAGCTCCACCACCAGCGATGATGCTGGGATGGGACCGCCACATCCTTCCAGTGACACCACTCACCTGGGCCTTCGAGCAGCCTCCATGGTATTGCTCCTGCACCAGCTTCAGCAGATGTGGCTTTCCTCAGTGCCTCTGCTATTTTAAGGCCCCCATCCTCTTTGCAGAAACATATAAAGAAATGCTAAAGGCATGTGAGAGCCACTCCAAAGTGAAGGCACTTTGAAGCCTGGGTCACTTCTGAGGTTCCTGTGAGCTCGGCCAGGCTTTCTGCTGGGCAGAGACGCAAGGGAGAGCTGCTCCCCGCCGTGGAGCTTGGCTGTGCTTGCTGCATGCCCCCGTGCGTCCAAAAATAAATGGAGATGCTCCATGTATCACCAGGACAACAGCCAGGGGGTTCTAGGGGAGGTGGCATGCAAAGGAAAAAGCCAAGGCTGCATATTCCCTGGAGCTTACAGCAGGTAAGAACATAATACAGATATTTAGTGATCTTGTTGTTGCTATAATCCAGGCAAAGTCACAGCTGAGTCCTTCTGGGGCTTTGATTTTAACGCTCAGCCCTTGTAAACACGCTGGCTGAACTAAGGGTATGAATAAAGGCAGCGGGAGGTTTTTCTTCTGCAAAGAGCAGGGGAAAAATATTTTATTGAAAAAAAAAATATCACAAAAACAGACTTCTATTTAAGCAATTTCTTTCCAAAATTTTGGAGAGGATTTCATTTCCTCTTGAACTTGACATCAAAGCAGACATCATGCTTGGGTTAATAAGCACGAGAAGCGAAACCAATTAAAATATTACTGTCACCGAAGGCAGACCTGACTGGGTGTAACAGCCTGCCAGATTTTCGCTGATGTGGTGATGAAACACAAATATTTATGAGCCAAACGTTGCCTCCACCATCATTCAGAGCCCTCTGTGTGTTCCAGCACCGAGTCAGGATTACAGCAGGGGAGGTTCGTAGCAGATGAGCTCTTCGCCTCAGCCCCCCCTGCCAGGGGAACAGCAGCAGCTGCACTTTGTCCCTACGCCTCTCCTCTTCATCACAGCATTAGGCAAATGCGAATGAAAGCGTGAGGCAGGGTAATACCACTAAGAGTGAAAAATCCGGAGATAACTTTGAAGTGATGAATCCAGACGCTGCACAGAGAAAGCCTTATTCATACCACAGCAACAGGGCCCCTGCATTATTAAAAGGAGCAGCCTTGAGCTCCCGGCAGACAAAAAGGAACTCTTCTCCTTTACAGAAAGGCACAAGAAGAAATTGCTTGCCAGCCTCTCACCGAAAGCCTGCAGCCAAGCCAAGTGCTGAGCCTCGGTGGCAGCCCAGTGTCCTGGAAGAAACGTCCCGGCAGTGCAAATCTCTACCTGAAAATTACACCTACCTAATTAAGAATATTTTCCTCCATGTCTATGACATCTATCGCTACAGCTCAAGAGGGATTTGTGCTGTTGTTTCATAAATATCACCGTTGCCTGCTATTAAGGCCCAAGTCACACGTTTGAGTTTAGGCACAGAAATATTTGTTTTCTGCATCATTTGAAGGCTTCTACATTACAGAGTGCAGCAACAAGTGCAGTAGTTGTGGGGTTGTGTCTGTAAGTGAATCACTGTAATTCTTCTGACATACTCTATCGTGCACTTTTTATGTACCATACCAAAAGCTCCTCAGCTCAGTTCACGTCAAAGCAGGCTGCCCTAAGACTGGCAGCCTTCTGTTGCAAGCTTCTCTCATCTTCATAGCATGGTGTTCCTGAGAACTGAACGGAAATGAGTAGCTGGGGTTACTGAGGCACTGTTGTATTTTTCAGGAGGTTATGGGTCTCCACTGTGGTACAGAGTAGGAATAAGTTAGATAAATCCTTGTCAGGAA